CTCTCTCTCTCTCTCTCTCTCTCTCTCTCTCTGTTTTCACGTGATGATTTAAATCTCCTCTATTCGATAATGTGTGTGTGTGTGTGTGTGTGTGTGTGTATGTGTGGGCGCTAGTCTCTTCACGTTTGACTCTAAACTTCTGTCAGTTCCAGACATTCATCTTCCTGAGTTCACACTCACTGCCCACATTTTCTCCACCTGCTTGTACAAGTTTTTGTACAAGTATTTGTGCGTGTATAACAAGGAAGAGTCACCGATTAGGCTGATATATGAATCTGACTGGTATAATAAATCAGTGCGGCGCTTCCTGCACATTTGCAAATGGAACGAAACAATGCTATTTTTGCAATGATGATGCAATGTCAGCTTTTGAATAATGCTTTATTCATTCAGTTGCACACATAGGATGAGTGGAACAACTTTTAACCCTCAAAAGAAACTAAAATGATCACATCAATTGAAAATCACTGAATATAACAAAAACAACTGCTGTTATAAACACTCTAATAACATGAATTAACAAGAAACATGGCAGTGCATCATGGGAAAGTGGATTATGGCGGAATATTTTCATGTTTTTTTTTTATTATTTCATTAAAATAACATTTATTGTGATTAAGCCACTTTGTTAATGTGTGTGTGTGTTATGGTATGTATACTGTGTATATATTTATATAAATATTTTAAATATAAATTTATAAGTATAGTACATTAAAAAATATAACAGACTTATATAATTAATAATAGTGAATTTTATTTATGTTTTTTATCTTTATATATACAGTATATTACTTATTTATTTATATTATTTATTCATTTATATATTATATAATATTGATATTATATTTCTAACTTGTGACTTTGTAAATCTTTTTGACTGATTCATAGAAAAAATAATAATTATTGTAATAATAATAATAATAATAAAGCCTTTTTGTTAATGTTTATCTTCAACTACTAATCATCAAGAGTGATTCAAATGGATGAATTTTTTATCTTTGATTCATAAGAGTCGTTTGTTTGTGAATCACATTACACTACTCATAACCGAAATGATTGCGTGTGTGTTTGTGTGTGTGTTGCTGATGCTACAATATTTGAATGTTTTTTAGTATTTCATTGGGATATCATTTATCATAATAGTAATAAAGCTTGTTTGTTAATGTTTATCTTCAATTACATGTTGTCATCCAGACCAGTTTTGTTCAGTTTGTGAGTTTTTTTTTTTTGTTGACTGATTCAAAAGAGTCATTTGTTCCTGAATCAGATTATACTGGTCATGATTGAAAGGATTGTGTGTGTGTGTGTTTGTGTGCATGTGGGAATGAGAGGGAAATGCTCTCAAATTATAGTACTTATGGACAAGTGGGTTATTGTTTTGCAGTGAGCACATATTGTGAAGTCAGTAAAACACAAAATTACCTTTTCAGATGGGAAGGGAATGTTTCTGTCTCATAGTGTGTGTGTGTGTGTTTAAGTGTACAGTTGCTGGTCATTGTGCCCTAATCCGATTGGACAGTTTTGGAGTCCGCTCAGGTTCTGACTCAACTCTCTCCTCCCAGACTGTGACCCACTTTCACCGCGTGTGTGTGTGTGTGTGTGTTTCCTGTCATATTGCAACAGGTGTTTCATACCTTTTCCATACTGTATTCATTGTTTTTCCAAAAACTAGGGCTGCACGATAAATCGCATGCGATATTTAACGCGCATCTTGTCAGAAAAGCCGGTTCTGTAATCAGCGGTAAATCTCCATCACGTGCGTGCTGTCACATTGAGCAGCATTAACTACACAGAGCCGTTGTTCACTGACGAGCTGCGCAAAAAATCGCGCGAATATGAACGTGGTTTTGCGCAGCTGGTCAGTGAACAACGGCTCTGTGTAGTTAATGCTGCTCAATGTGACAATGTTAAATATCGCATGCGATTTATCGTGCAGCCCTACCAAAAACCATGGTTATTGAATAAAAAGGATACAGCTGTTTTTGCAGAAAGTTTCTATGTGTGTTTTGAGTTTTGGATGAATTTGACATAATGCTGTTTTGACTTCCTGATTCATATGAAGGCTCAGCTCGTTCTGTTTGTGTGATTATTGTAAGATGTTTTTTCATGCATTAGTATAGATTTCATTTGTAGGGTTGGCGAATCACGAACAGTCCTTATTCTGTTTTTTCTGTTAACAATTCTTGGATGGCTGCATTCTTCCAAACACTTACTGTACTAATCAGTCTGAGCAGTTACTGAAGTAATCTGACTCGCGTACTAAATAGCTATATAAAGTTATTATGACTAATTAGTGAACCTCATTCCTGCTGAATCTGTGCTGCATTAAAACATCTTTAGATGCATGTTTTGCAAGAACTGTATTCAGTTTTTCTCAGATTTTTAAAATATGTTCACTTGAAATCTGAATGATCTCATCATTTGGCAACATACTGAAGGCAGAAATTTTATGAATAATATTTATATAATTAATTATTTTTAATT